AGAATTATCTTGTCAAGCAGGATGTTTCTCACGCCACCTTGCTTTGAGGGGGGGACGTGTGAGAGTACGACGGCTTATGCTAGCTTTGCTAGCTTGCCTTGACTTTACTATGCTGTTTCTAGCTCAGGTTTATTATATCATGCATGCTTATGCTTAATTTCCTAGGTTAGGTGCCATTTATTATAGTTATAGCACTGAACCAGGTTGCGTGTTCCGATTTCCTGGCCTTTCGGTTGTCACCGAATTGTCTTCTACCGACTTCGGGAAGGATCCATTCAGGACGCTTCGAGCCCCTTGGAACCTTCGCGTAACACCTAGGTTACTGGCCTCTTGTCGAGACTAAATATAGCCTCGTGTTGTACCCAGGTGGATCATTCAATACATTCGCTCATTTCTAAACTCGATCCTATCGATCCTCATAGACTACTTGATTCGTTGGTGTGGTTACGATATAACCGACGACAGCTGTGTTCCTTTGTCCTCATCGTCTCCCGACAACGCTTGCCTTCAAGTGTACCTTTAGTCTGCAGGCGCCGCGGATGTCACCTCCTTGGGAGGGGGTTAGTGTTACGGGGTAGTTTACTATTCGAGGTTGATTTACCCTAAATAATATGCCAACCTCATCCGAACCTTATCTTCATCCAATCCCTTCGGAATTTCCAAGATTTCCAAACCACCTCGTGGCACTCTAGCTTTCTTGCATTCCATTTTCTAGTTCCACAAACTGCTTTCCAACTTTCGTTGTTGTCTGCTAAATAAACCTTGCTTGTAATTGCCAATGTCAGTCGATTCTCATTCAACTCTTCATCTACTCAGTAACTTCTTCGTCTATTTCGCCAATAGATCTTTCGCCAAAGTCTTCCGTTGCGTTTACATCCTCGACTCAGTCGACCCCGATATTCGTTAGCGGATGTAGGCTTGCGGGCCTAACATGCGTGCTACATCGACGAAGTGAGAGTATTCAGTGGATCGGAGGAACAGAACGTGCATGATGTAAAGAAGACTTTGGACGCCATCCGGGAAGTCGGGTTAGCCTGTCACCCTAAGAAGTGCAGGTTTGGGAGCAAGACGGTGCAGTACTTGGGATTCGAGATTGGAGAAGGGACGCTCGGGGTGCAACAGGCAAAGGTAGAAGTGCTAGACCGGGTACCGGCATCCAAGGACTGATTTACCTTGTGGGAAGTGCTCGGGTTCCTGAGCTACTACCGCCGAGTTGTTCCTAACTTCAACAAGACGACGTCGGTGCTAAACTGGCTGCTAAGGGAAGAGGGCGTGGCAATGGGGAGAGGAGGAAAGGGGAGCTCTGGTGGCCTGGATCGGCGGTCAAGACGGCCACTGTGTTGCCGAGCAAGGAGGACCCATTTGTGCTTTACACTGACTGGAGTAGCGCAGGGATGGGGGCAATCATGTGACAGGACTGGGAAGGAAAAGAGAAGGTGGTCACCTTCGCCAGCAGAAGCTGTAACCCATCGGAAGCGAGTTACGGTTCCTATGAAGGAGAAGGGTTGGCAGCAGTGTGGGCCATTACTCATTTCCGTGTGTACTGGCAGGGACGGCTGTTCAATTAGGTCACTGACCATCAGCAATTCACATGGCTCATGAAGAACTTGGCTCAAACCGGGAGGAACGTCGGGTAGGCCATGAGGTTGCAGGAGTACGATTTCGTCATCCGGCACTAGCATGCAACATGTAGATAGGCTGTCCCGCAATCCGGCCCCAGAGAGACCGACGGCCTGTCTAGTGGCCTTGGCGCGAGGAATTGATGCTGAAAGAGCTAAAAAGGGGAAGGACAAGGGGCCAGAAGATGTGTGAGAAGATGGAGAATTGATGCGGTGGATGCAAGGTAAGATCAATGAAGCAAAACATACCTCGGAGAGAGCAAGGATGACAGGAATACACTACCATTGGTACTAGGACCAATTGCAAGTGAACAGCAAGGAAAGTTGGAAAATGGTCCCCTTGCCTGGTGAGAGGGAAGAGATTATTGGGAAGGAGCATCGGCAGCTCGTGCATTATGGAGCTGTATGGATCGTTCAACTGCTCGAGACTACTTGGTGGTGGGCAAGAATGAGAAGGCAGGTGAAGCAAAGGGGAGAGGGATGCGAGCTGTGCGCGAGGAATAGAGCGGAGGTGGAAAGAGGAAAGAGGAAGGAAGGAGCTGCACTCGCTGCCGGTCTGAAGACTGGGCTTCAGATGATCGCTGGACTTAGTAGAAGAGATGCCCCTGAGTCGTCAAGGGAAAAAGGTATATACTAATTATGATTGAGCACGGGAGCAAAAGGGTGGAGATGAAGGCCCTACCTAGCAAGAATTCCACTCGGATTGCAGAAGCTTTCAAGGAACAGGTCCTGACTCGGTTCGGGGCATGTGGGGGAAGTGCTAACCGACCAAAGAACGAAATTCTAGGGGCTTTTCGTGGTATTGCTCCAAGAGACATGAATAGTTCATAGCGGACCTCTAGGTACCACCCACAGAGCGATGGCATAGCCGAGAGGTTCATGAAGACAATGAAGAGGGGCTTGCGGGCGTACGGGGAGAAGTACAAGCGGGATTGGGGTCTGAGACTACCCAAGGTGGCTGCTGGTTACCGCTTCAGCAAGCAAGTGGCATTGAAGGACCTCTCCCCGTACTTCTTGCTCTTGAGGAGAGAGCCTATCCCGCCAGTAGATGCTCCAATACTTCGCACAGATATGGTGACAGCAAGAACATAGGAGAAACGAGTGGCTCTAGACGAGGCCAATGCGAAGTATATGAGAGAGCTGCTTCCCGTTGCTCTAGAGAACCTCCACGTGGCACATCTAAGAAACGCACAGAGGTACAAGAAGAGGGGAGAAAGGGCCGCAAAGGAGGGGGGAGACAAGGTGCTTCTGGGGGGGTGAAGTGTACCTCCAGCAAGCTAAGAAGGATCTACTAGATGTGGGGTTAACGACCGAGAGGTGGAGAGTGAAGGACGTGAAGGAATCGGGGGTGGTAGTCCTGGAAAATGAAGAAGGGAGAAAAACGGAGGGATCACCTCATTAACGTGGTGTGAGCCTAGCCAAGGAGGGGTGGGGGAGTGAGGTGTGAAGGAGAGGCAAGATCAGGACATCCAGTGCACCAAGGGAGGTCCACCGGCTGAACAGTAGGCTGTAGGCCGCGGAGGAGGCAAGTGAGTAACACTGGGGAGGTCCTAAAGGAACCCAAGGGAAGAGAAGAGGGCAGGGCAGGGAGAGTGAGAGAGGAGGGAGAGGTATGCTAGAAGCAGGGAGAACTGAAAGAGTTGTTTCTCAACAGTTGTCACGCAATTAATAAGTATAGGAGATACAATCATACACAGAGGAGGCTGATATAATTGCTTACACGGTAAAATGAACATTGCTATAATAAGCATAGCCAACGGATGCAATCCATAGAATACAGTTGGAAAACCTATGAAGCGGAGGGCGAATCGGGACCGTTGACAACAACCGTAAACACCACAAATTACTTAGGGTATGCAGGGCTAGGTTTTGCTAGTTTTCTTGCTTGTTTCCTCACACTAAGACCGTCTTCCAAGTCTACCAATCTGTTTACTAGTCACTGAGCCAGAGCAGGCAGATATTGATTAGTTGAGCATCACAGAGGCGCTTTAGGCTATGCATAGGGACTTTTGTAGTGGGTAACATTGCGGAGCTCCTGAAGTAACCCAAGGGAAGAGCAGAGGGCAGGGCAAGGAGAATGAGAGAGGAGGGAGAGGTATGCTTGGAGTAGGAAGAATTGGAGGAGTTGTTTTTCGACACAATGTGAATTCCTTGAACCTCGAGGTTAGTAGCTGAGAAAACCTCCTTCGCCTCCAAAAAGCGCAGCTCTAAAGGCCCAGGTGCTCCTCGCCTAAACCCTCATGATGCTCGGCGACGGTACGGATCATGTTGTTGACCATGTCGAAGATGAGAATGACTTCTGCCACAGATTTCGCAGCCAATGCCTCCTTGTTCAACATGAAACACAAAGAGTTAGTGATTGTACAGACACACTAACATGTAAAGGCGATCATTACTAACGCACCTGTGGGCGATGCAATGGAACGAGACGAGGTTGGGGATCAGCATCCGAATTCGTGCAACCAGTCCACCCTAGGGCCCAATCATGGCCATTGCGCCGTCTGTGCTGATGCCCGAAATACGGTGGAGATCAACACCCACTGCCCTGAGGTGGGAGAGCAACAAGCTCAACAAGGAAGCAGCGGCAGCTTTCTCTGTCAAACATTATATATGTTGTTGTTGTTTAGGCTACAGTGGGTTAGCCTTTAGGGGGTACACAATTCTAGGGTTAGGTACTTGTACTCATTTTCACTGCTAGTTCCACTCATTTTCCTGCCTGTTAATTTCAACATGGTTTCAGAGCAGGTCCTTCGCTAGGACCGTTTTTTTAGGGCCCACCTACCTACCTACCTACCTACCTACCTACCTACCTACCTGCGCCCTAGAGCGCTTCGTGTTTCACGGCCCCCTAAGGCCCCGCGACCCGCGACCCGCCCCTTAGCGACCCGCGCGCCGCCCCTTAGCGACCCCGTCGGCCCCGCGTTCGCCCCCTATAGGCCCCTTACGGCCCCGCGTTCGCCCCTAGAGGCCCCTTACGGCCCCGTCGCAGCCCCTTAGAGGCCCCGTCGGCCCCGCGCGCCGCCCTTTAGGGGCCCCGTCGACCCCGCGCGCCGCCCCTTAGAGGCCCCGCTGGCCCCGTCGACCCCGCGCGCTGCCTTTTCGCGACCCCCGCGCCGCCCCTTAGAGGCCCCGTCGACCCCGTGTACCGCCCCTTAGGGGCCCCGCTGGCCCCGTCGACCCCACCCGCTGCCCCTAACTGCCCCGCACGCGACCGCGACGGCCCCGCCAAACCTAGGCCGCCCGCACCGAGCCGCGCAGCCCCCACCGAGCCGCGCCGCCCTAACCGAGCCGCGCCGCCCCACCTGCACCGAGCCGCCCTACCTGAGTCGCGCTGCCTACTACTGTTAGGGTGCACCTACTGCTACTGCTACTACTGCTACTATGGCTAGCCCTCCTGTGCTAGCTTTCGATACTGAGGGACGTCCAGTGAAATTTGACACCTGGCTAGATGACCTGCACCTTTTCCTACAGCTCCCAGCCAAGGAGGACATCTCACTGTACGATCACGCCCTAGGCCATGCCCCTGCGCCTGCTGCTACTGCCGACAGCTCTACCCGCTCACAGTGGCAGACTCGTGACGCCCACGCTCGCTTTGCTATTCGCAACTCCCTGCCGATAGATGAGCGCGAGCACTTTGGCCAGCACAAGACTGCACAGGACCTGTACAAAGCTGTCGTTGCCCGCTACTCCTCGCCTGCCTCTGCCGCTCTAGGCCGTCTCTCGCTTCCCTACCTGTTCCCCGACTTTTCCTCTTTCCACACAGTCGCTGACCTCATCACGCACCTCCGCACTAGTGAGGCTCGCTTCCGTGCTGCCATGCCCGCCGAGTTCCTTGCCAAGAACCCTCCCCCGCTCTGGCTCACTCTCTACCACCTAGTCACCCGCCTCCCTGACTCTCTGCGTGCAGTCAGGGATTCCTTCCTAGCTCGCTGCCCTACTGAGCTCACCATTGCCCTCCTCGAGAAGGAACTACTTGCAGCTGAGGCTAGCATAGTCGCTGTAGGTGCCTCTCGTGGCGACCCCCGCACCCCGTTCTTTGAGGGGTGTTCTCCTTCCCCCCTTCTTCCCTCTGTCGCCTCTGCTGCTGCTGTCGACCTCCTTGGTGCTGAGAAGGTCGGGACTGCGTCTGCTTCGAGCGGACGCCGCAGCGGCAAGGGCAAAGGGGGCAAGGGAGGCGGAGGTGACGGCGGGGGAGGAAGTGGTGGGGGCGGTGGCGGCGGTGGGGGTGGTGGCGGGGCTGGAGGGGCGAGTGGCGGCGGTGGGGGTGGTGGCGGCAGCGGCGGGGGCGGTGGTGGGGGTGGCGGTGGACGCGGCGGCGGCAGGGGTTGGGGTGGTCGAGGAGGTGGGGGCGGAGGTGGTGGTCGTGGAGGCGCTGGCGGTGGTCCGAGCCAGCAGCACACTCCGTCGCCCCAGGAGGTCCGTGAGTGGTACTCTCAGCACGGGGGGGGGGGGGGTGGCTTTAGCTGCACGTATGTCATTCGCACTGGTGACCGCACTGGTCAGCAGTGTGGGGGACCGCACGCCACGCAGCGCTGCTTCGCCCGCCTCAACGACGCTTGGCGTGTTCAGTTCCCTCAGGCCACTGAGTTGCCCCACTGGCTTGATCTCCTGAAGAAGGGGATTGATATCTATGCTCTAGACTTTGATGCTATTCTTACTGCCATGTATGTGATGTCTACTAGTGGAGAGGGTGCTGAGTACCTGTGTGTTCCGCCCGACCCGGGCATTAGGGCTAGTGCGTCTGCCACTGTCCTTGAGCCACTTGCTCGGCCAGTTGCTGTCTCCCTCGCTGACCCCTCTGGGGGCCCGGTCGTTGCGACCTCCTCCACTGTCCTTCCCTGTCCTGCGGTCCCGTCAGGCACACTGTCCGGTCTCCACCTCCCCTCGTTCTCTACGAACCTGGTGGCAGGGTGTGCGCTCCAGGACGCGGGTGTTCACCAGTTCACCCCTGCCTACGAGCGCGTGACCCACTGCACGTGTGCTCGTACGGGCCGTCACTTGGCTACCTTCACTAGACAGCCGGGGTCGGACCTGTACACACTGACCACTGAGTCCCCTCAAGTAGCTGCGTCTGCGTCTGCGTCTGCGTCCGGTCAGCTGTCGGCCCCCTGCTCGTGTCGCAGCGACTGTCCTCTGGCACCACCGACTTGGCCACCCGTCTGTGCAGCGCCTTCGCGCCATGCACTCCCGGTACCTTGTCTCTGGTCTTCCCAGGGTTCTCCCTCCCCTCCCACCCTAACCTGCTCCTCCCTGTCTTCCCTGTGTCGAGGGGCGGCAGCGCGCCGCTCCTCACTCCTCCTCGTTTCCCCCGACAACTGCTCCCTTGCAGATGCTCCACATGGACGTGTGGGGCCCAGCCCGCGTCCGTGGTCAGGGTCAGGAGAGGTACTTCCTGATAGTTGTTGACGACTACTCGCGCTACACCACGGTCTTCCCCTTGCGCACCAAGGGTGAGGTCCCTGATGTTTTGATCCCTTGGATCCGCAGAGCTCGTCTCCAGCTCAGCGAGCGTTTCCACTCGGACTTTCCTGTCCTGCGCTTGCACTCTGACAGAGGTGGTGAGTTCTCCTCTGACCTCTTGGCAGCCTACTGTGCGGAGCACGGCATTGAGCAGTCGTTCACGCTTCTGGCCTCTCCACAGCAGAATGGGGTTGCGGAGCGCCGCATTGGCCTAGTCATGGAGGTCGCCCGTACCTCCTTGATCCATGCGGCTGCCCCCCACTTTCTATGGCCGTTTGCGGTCCAGTACGCTGCGCATCAGCTCAACCTCTGGCCCCGTGTCTCCATGCCGGAGACCTCGCCCACACTGCTGTGGACGGGGGAGGTTGGCGATGCGTCACGTTTCCGGGTCTGGGGATCTCGAGCCTTTGTCCGCGATACGTCCACGGACAAGCTCTCCTCCCGCGCTGTTCCCTGCGTCTTCCTTGGCTTTGTCCCTGACGCGTCTGGTTGGCAGTTTTACCACGCCACCTCGCGCCGGGTCCTGCCCTCTCAGGACGTCACTTTTGACGAGTCCGTCCCCTACTACCGCCTCTTCCCCTACCGCACTGCCCCGCTCCCTCCCCCGCCTCTCTTCCTCGCACCAGGTGCTGCTGTGGTAGACCCCCTCCCCCCTCAGGGTGCCGCTCCCTCAGGTGTGTCCCAGGTAGACCCGGTTGAGCCTGTTGAGGTAGCTGTTGACTCTCGTCCTGCTGCGGGTGCGGGGCCTGGGGGTGCGGAGCCTGGAGGTGCTGAGCCTGGGGGTGCGGAGACTGGGGGTGCTGAGCCTGGGGGTGCTGAGCCTGGGAGTGCTGAGCCTGAGGGTACTGAGCCTGGGGGTGCTGAGCCTGGGGGTGCTGAGACACGGAGTCCGGTGTCTGGGGGTTCTGAGTCTGGGGGTGCCGGGCCTGGGAGTCCTACACCTGGGGGAGCTCTCTCCTCGGAGCAGCTGCGTGAGTGGTACTCAGAGTACTGCAGCCTCAGTACAGGTGCCTCTGGAGCCCGGAGTACTACTGGGACGGGTGCTGGTGCCTCCCCCCCTCCGCGGGAGCTGCCCTCTCTTGAGCGGATCCGTGAGTGGTACGAGCGGCGCTGCACTCTCCGGAGTGGCGCGCCTGGAGTCACGGACCCTGGTGCTGGAGTTGGGGCTGCTGCTGGTGCTGCGGACCCTGGAGTTGGAGCTGCTGCTGGTGCTGCGGACCCTGACGTTGGAGCTGCTGCTGGTACTGCGGACCCTGGAGTTGGAGCTGCTGCTGGTGCTGCGGACCCTGGAGTTGGAGCTGCTGCTGGTGCTGCGGACCCCGACGTTGGAGCTGCTGCTGGTGCTGCGGACCCTGGAGTTGGAGCTGCTGCTGGTGCTGCGGACCCTGGAGTTGGAGCTGCTGCTGGTGCTGCGGACCCTGGCGTTGGAGCTGCTGCTGGTGCTGCGGACCCTGGAGTTGGAGCTGCTGCTGGTGCTGCGGACCCTGGCGTTGGAGCTGCTGCTGGTGCTGCGGACCCTGGAGTTGGAGCTGCTGCTGGTGCTACGGACCCTGGAGTTGGAGCTACTGCTGGTGCTGCACGGCCCCGGCCGTACTTCGTTCCGCTCCTTCAGCAGGTTCTTGGTCAGCCTCCTCCTCCTTGTCCTGCTCCCTCCTTAGAGTGTCCTCCGCCTGTCCAGTCGCAGTCCCCGTTACCGCCTGCCTTGCCGCTCCCTGGTCCTTCTCCTTACACTGGTCCCACAGGAGGTCTTACGGAGCGTCGTGAGCCTGAGTCTCGTCCTGTGTCGCCTGCGTCTCGCTCTGCGTCGCCTGTTCGTGCTGCTCGCACTGGTCGTCGTGTCCCGCGTGAGCGTCCTCCTCCTGTCCTTGGCACTCACTACATGACTCTGCGTCCCTCCACTGCTCCTCAGCGCGTCCCTCTGCCGTCTCCTCCTGCGTCCTCTCTTCCTACCCTTCCTGACCCGGAGTCTGACTCCCTTCGTGCTGCTCGTCCTACTGTCACGCGTCTCCTCGCTACTGTTGTCACTGACCCTACCTTTGAGTCCTCTGCTGCGTCTGCTCTTGTCGCTGAAATAGTTGACTTTGCTGCCGCTTGTCGTCTCGACTACGCCGCTAGCCTAGTTGCTGCGTCTGAGTCTGTCTGTCCTCCGTCCGTCGGGGGTGAGTGTGCTCTTGGCACGGACGTCCTTGAGGACAGGCAGGAGGAGTTCCAGTGCTTTGCTGCTGCTTTGCCTCATCTCGTGTCCATGCTAGTTGCCCCTGAGGGAGACCCGGATGCACCAGACATCCCGACCCCGCGCTCTTACGCAGAGGCTATAGCGGGTCCCTACTCCTCTCAGTGGCAGACAGCCATGGACGCAGAGATGGCTTCCTGGAAGTCCACAGGCACCTACGTCGACGCAGTTCCCCCACCAGGGGCGAACATCGTCAGTGGCATGTGGATTTTCAGGGTGAAGCGGCCGCCGGGTTCTCCGCCTGTCTTCAAGGCACGTTACGTTGCTCGAGGCTTCAGTCAGCGTGAGGGAGTCGACTTCTTCCAGACCTTCTCCCCCACCCCGAAGATGACCACTCTTCGGGTGCTGCTGCACATAGCCGCTCAGCGCGACTACGAGCTTCACTCTCTTGACTTCAGCACTGCTTTCTTGCAGGGTAGCCTGCACGAGGAGATCTGGCTGCGCCGCCCTCCTGGCTTCACTGGGTCGTTTCCTTCTGGTACCCAGTGGAGCCTCCGGCGGCCGGTCTACGGTCTCCGTCAGGCACCACGTGAGTGGCACGACACACTGAGGACGACACTTGCGGCACTTGGGTTCGCGCCTTCTACTGCTGACCCGTCGCTGTTTCTGCGCACAGACACTTCGCTGCCGCCGTTCTACATCCTCGTGTACGTCGACGACTTGGTCTTTGCCACTGCTGACACTCAGGCTCTCGCCCACGTGAAGTCAGAGCTGCAGAAGAGACACACGTGCACAGACCTGGGTGAACTGACAAGCTATCTTGGCTTGCGGATCACCCGGGACAGAGCACGGCGCACCATTACCTTGACTCAGTCACACATGGTGCAGCAGGTCCTTCAGCGCTTCGGCTTCACGTACTCCTCGCCTCAGTCCACTCCTCTGCCTACTGGTCACTCGCTCTCAGCTCTGCCTTCGGATGAGTCCGTAGAGCCGAGTGGCCCGTATCCAAAGCTTGTGGGCTGCCTCATGTACCTGATGACCTGCACTCGACCTGACCTTGCATACCCTCTTAGCATCCTTGCACGCTATGTCGCTCCTGGCCGTCACCGGAAGGAGCACATGGATGCCGCTAAGAGGGTGTTGCGCTACTTGTGCAGTACGTCGAGCATGGGGCTAGTGCTTGGAGGGCGAGACCGAGTTGTTCTCACAGGGCACTCAGACGCTTCTTGGGCGGACGACCAGGCCACTCAGCGGTCGTCTCAGGGTTACACCTTCAGCCTTGGCTCTGGTTCAGTTTCTTGGCGTTCTACACGTTCTTCTTCAGTTCTCAGCTCCAGTTGTGAGGCTGAGATCTACGCCACAGCCATGGCAGCCCAGGAGCTACGCTGGCTCACCTACCTGCTGACCAACTTGGGAGAGCGGCCTCGTTCTCCTCCAGTGCTGTACGTCGACAATAAGGCTGCCATTGCCTTGTGTGAGGAGCACATACTGGAGCACAGAACGAAGCACATCGCTCTGCGGTACTTTCTGGCTCGTGAGCTGCAGCAGCGTGGTCAGCTTTGTCTGCGTTACGTGGCCACTCAGGCCAACACTGCTGACGTGTTCACCAAGGTGCTTCAGCCTTGTGACCATCAGCGCTTCTGTACTCTTCTAGGCCTTGTGCCTACTGGACCTCACTTGCTTACTTCTTGACTTTGCTTATCCAGCATGATCCGAATGAAGGGGCTTGTTATGAGATGCTCCAGCTACGTGGTTTGAAGCCACGTGGCGATTGCTTGTGTCAGTTGCTCAAATACGTACCTGATACAAACAATAAATGACGATGCCAGCCACAATGCATTGACGGTTGATATAAAAATAAATCAAAGGCTCTGGATACTTACGTGTTGTAGTATGTACAGTATGATTTCTCCAGGAAACCGGGCACCTTCTTCCTCGACAGGTAGCGCACAAGCCGGATCCACATATCCATGGGCTCGTTGCACATGCTCATGAAGTACAGCAAGTCGAGAAGAGCCGACATCTGCACCATCTCCTTGTCTTGTGCTTTGGGTGGATGCACTGCTGTCTTGCCACTTTCAGAGGCTGGACGATCTGTTTCTAAAAGTGGCAAGACAGCAGTGCATCCACCCAAAGCACAAGACAAGGAGATGGTGCAGATGTCGGCTCTTCTCGTCTTGCTGTACTTCATGAGCATCAGTGGGCCCACCGATGCTTCAATGTCCCCATGTGCTTCTTGAACGCTTGCGTCTGAACATCAGTACCTCCTTGTCCTCGCCATCCACATCTGCCTGCCAAAGCTGCATGCTCCATAATGCTACATTTAAAAGCAGGGGACCAGCAAGAGTTCTAGTAAGGAGGAGCCATGGGTACTCGGAAGACCATCGAGACTTGTAACGATCAAGAGCCTCCTTATATTTCAGCTCTCGGGAACGGGCTTGGAGCTACACTGCATACGAGAGTCCTCCCTTGTTGGAGCTTCAACATTCAAGGCAGCTGGAGGAGTTCCCCACGCAATTGTAGACTTGGGTTTAGGGTTTAGTGACTTCGTCGGTGGCATGAGGGTGCATGGAGGTTCGACGGTCGCCTTAGGTACCTCCGTCGTATTAGTAGGTGGTACAGATTTGGTGGTGGCATGGGGCAGAGGATCGGAAATATGGATTGATTGGAGTGGGGATTCATGGTTTGCTGGTTTGTAACGGTGGCGCTTGCGGAGCACGAGACATTTTGAAGGATGGCCTAAGAAAGTCTAGGCCGGAACGCACGAACCTTGGAGGGCAACGATCTACCTCGTCGTCATCGCCAGACCCATCTACGGCCACGTCTGTGGCTGCCATTAAGGCCGTGGTGGAGAGAACCGGCCTGCAACATGTTAAGAGAAGCCATGGATGACGAGAGAGTTAAATGGCATTCCTGAGATGGGGCTCCTTCATTTGCCAGAAAAGTGCAGCTCGATTGGTCCACAGTGGCAGAATTCAATATTGGTCACACCCACCACACGTGCCAGGCAACGGGAGTCGCTTAGGGTGAAAATCAAGAAAGATTTGGTACAACGACTCGCATGCGTCTGCATCGAACGTTCATGCGACAGTTTTAAACGACCACCTGCTCCCATGAGACGGTCGAAAACACAGTGGGAGGGAAATGCTAAAAATTTTAGGATTAGCGTACCGTAATTTCCATACGGCCCAAACTTGCACTGTGACAGTAAAAAACGACTGTCGTTCTGGCGTTCGGAGGCAAGGAAAGTTGACGTGAGGAAAAATTGCACGACCCTCAGCTCCCAACCCAGGCGACATCCACATTCACCCCCCCTTTGCTGCCATGCAACAGGCACGTGCTCTGTGCACTGTTGCTGGTGGAACTTCGGTTGGGGCCCCATCTCAGGAACGCCATCTTAGGTGAGGGAGAAAAGATTGTACTAAAAGGAAGTGTTGAGGTACAAAATGAGAAAGAGAATTGTAAACCCTAATTGAACCTAAGGTGTGTTCAGTTTGGGCAGAAGGCTACGAAATGAACCTAAAATGAACCTGAAAGCGTAACTTACTTTAAGCATGGCGAAATGACAAAAGACCAGAGCAAGCTCTAGCCTACTCCAAAAAAACAAGGGTTTAGGCGGTAGATTTAGGGGAGGGGATTGAACCAGGAGGTAGGTGTCAGGGGGAGTGGCCAGAATGGTTGGGGTGCGGATGCGTGGAAGAGATCCTTACACAATGACCTCTCGTCTCTGTGGTTCCATGCATGCACGTCATCTGGTCGTTTTTGCAGGAAAGGTGGGGTGGGGTGGATGGATGTGGTTTTGTGCGAGCCGCAGCAGTCTGCGAGCTATGCGTTGGTAAAGAATCTTGCCAACATTGCCTCCTACGTGACCATGATTGGTCTAGGCGAAATGTCTCTTATTACAGCTTTGCTGCAACGACCCGACTGTGTGGTGCCGCTCTAGGCATTATTGGATTTCCCGCCCGTGATTGACGGTGTTAGTTGCTGATATAACCGAAGGATCAAGTGAATAGGATAAGTCTGCTAAGTTCAGGTGGAGACAATAAAGTCTCAGTAGTGACCTTGTTGGATAATGGTTGAAAGAGAAGAAGATAATTAAGGGGTAGGAGTACAAGGGAATAAATAGCAAACTAGCTAGCCATGTACTCTAAGGGGTACATTCCCTTATTAACTGTATTGCATAACTACAGTAACCACGACTATTGCTATTCTCGACAGTTACCATGTTGCAGCGAACAACTGTCGCGCGGTTACTTGGCTGGTCAAGGATCACGACCGTTGACTACCCTCGACGGTTGACCTTCAGGTGACCCCCGACCTTGCACATGCTCTATATGAGCTATTGCGGTACTGGTACAGTTTTTGGTTCTGCTAGCAGCTGATCCGTTAGTGGGATACCTTCAGGAATGCTTAAAATGACCTTTTGGTTATTCCAACACTCCCCTTCATTCCTGAAGGTGGGCCACGTGGGATTTCTTGGTGATCCCGCAGAGGTTGGCGCAGTGTTGAAACGGCCGGCGTGGCAATTTCTTCCTCAGGAAATCAGCTGCCATGTCATCGGTTGGGCAATACATGAGTTTGACTCTTCCTTTGTCGATTTCGTCCTTGACGAAGAAGTAGCGAAGTGCGATGTGCTTTGTGCGGTTTACGAAGCCGGGCTTGTTCGCGGTCTTGATCGCGCTCTGATTGTCGCAGAGTAACGTGAAGTGCCTGTTCATCGTCATTTTTGCTTCTTGCAGGAGTTCCATTAGATACAGTCCTTCCCGAACGGCTGCAATGGCGGCGATGAACTCAGCTTCAGCAGACGAAAGGGCGATAAGTTCTTGCTTTTGGGAGTTCCAGGAGATGAGTCCAGCAGGTTGGAGTTGGAAAATGAATCCTGTGCGGGAGCGTCTGTTGTCAACATCTCCTGCGTGATCAGCATCTACGTAGCCATGGAGCTGCAGAGTAGCGGTGAGGTTAGCTTCGTAGGTGAGGCCGACGTCGGGAGTGGAGATGAAGTACTGCAGTGCTCGGCGTAGATCCAGTAGATTCTCCCCTTCAGGTCGCTTCAGGTACTGTGCGAGCTGGCTTGCGACGTAGGAGAGATCGGGCCGGCACGTGACCGCGACAAACAGGAGGCATCCCAGCTGCTGTTGGTAGAGCCGATGGTCGTCGATGGAGAGGGGTGTGGTATTCGGCTCATGATTAGGAGGAGGAGTGCGGTAGAGAGTGGTGAGGTTGATTGGTGCGATGGCAAACCGCTTCGCGAGAGTTTCTGCGTATTTGGCGGCGGAGAGGTGAATAGAAGAAGCGGACTGAGTGACATTAAGTCCCAGGAACTGTGTGACGTTGTGATTGATCGTCACCTCGAGTTTCTCCTTGATGCCAGCTTCGAACTGGTCCAGCAGCTCCGTGTCATTGCCAGTGTAGAGGAGATCATCGACGTAGGCGATGAGGAGAATGAATTTGCCGCGCGATTCCCGGCGGTACATCCCGAGGTCATGTGGTAGCTGGACGAAACCGAGGTCAAGGAGAACGGAGTGGAGATACTGCTGCCACAGGTGAGGTGCCTGCTTAATCCCGTAAAGGGATTTCTGAAGGAGACACACGGCGCCATCGTTCTCTTCGAAGGCATGGGGCTGTTCGACGAAGATGATGGCGTCAACAGGGGCGTAAAGGAAAGCGCTGCCTACGTCAATTTGGCGGAGCGGCCGCTGTTTGTTGGCTGCGAGGCAGATGAGGATGCGTACCGAGGTGTGGCGTCCGACAGGTGAGTAGGTGAGGGTGAAGTCCACTAGGTGCATTTGCTTGAAGCCGCGCACCACCCACCGCGCCTTGTATTTATCAATGGAGCCATCAACCAGGGTTTTGATGCGGAAGACCCACTTGCCGCTGAGAATTTTCCTCCCCTTTGCCGATGACCGTGGGACCAGCTTCCAGGTGCCATGCTTCTTTAGCGACGCGACCTCTGCGGCCATGGCTGCTCTCCACTTTTCATTGTCGGGGCCAGACAAGGCTTGGCGAACAGTTGTGGGTTCCTTGGGAGAGTCGTGGCGAACAGCGACAACGAGACCGAGAACGCGGAGGCCGGTTTCGTTGGTCTTTTCGTAGTGGATGCAATCGTAGTCGTGGAGGCTGGTAACTTCGACTACGTCATCGTCACTTTCGTTGCCGAGGCGGAGGGTGTCTTGCGAGGTGTTGGGCTGTGGTAACTCTGCATCCGGGGATCGTCGTGCCTCACTGGTATAGTTGTGAGCTTCGCGATTTGTATCATCCGGATCGAATTGGTGTACAGGGATGAAGGTTGGAGTTTGGAGCGGGCTTGTAAGGGGGATGATGGGTGCTGTATCCATCGGGGTGACATCGGTTGCGTCTGCATCTTCCGCCAGGTCAGCTTCGTCGTGTGACGTGGCGAAGCTGCGATGTCCCTCAAAGACCCTCTCAGGCGCCTTGTCAGCTTCCCGATGCTCTTTGAACAGTGGCAAGGTCAGCTTCTCGTAGAAGATGCAGTCACGTGATTTCGTCACTTCGTGTGTCGCGTAGTCCAGCACGATCCACGCCTTGTATTCCTTTTCGATTCCGAGGTGGATGCCCCATCGTGCCCGGTCAGAAAACTTTCCGGTCCTTGCAGCGTGGGGTCTGTACTGTACCATGCAGCCGAACACCCGAAGCAGACGCGTGTCCGCTTTTCTGCCCGTCCATGCCCTGTA